ATGTTCACGTGAGCAATCGTTACATGTGGAATCGGATAAGTCCGATTCTAATCCTACAAGGCCCTACGCCTGTAACATGTTCATGGCTTTGAAGAACCTATATTTTGCACGTCACAGTACCCATCCTCCTCTTAGCCTACTGTGGGCACGCTAAGACCACATGTTTGAAGTCTTATGAGAGATATACACGCTAGTAATTTGTATTAATCACTCTAGGGACCTATTACGGTACATTTAAGAGCTGAGGTTGATGTGCCCACTTCCAATGTTTATGGCGATTCTATCTTGAGCCTTACCAAAATTTTGGTGGATTTCGGAGGGTATCTATATATATATAAATCTATGTTCTGATTTGGCGCCGCTAGGCCCATGTAGGATTTTATCGGAAGATAAGTACTTTAAGTAGGATGACACAACTTGACGTTTAGAACACTCACTCTCAGATTTCATTTGCAGATACCACTCGAGATTAACCCTTACGGCATATAACCTTATCCGTGCATACCCACCACAGGGAAAAGCGTGTAATACCTGTGGCTAACCAAGTGTGTTTACATCATCCCACAAGTACAACATCGCCGCGAGAGAGTGTGGTGTGTGGGTCTGGCTGGATTCGTACCAGTTTTCTACTGTCTCATATGGGGTAGGTGTCCAAGCTAACCAGTACCTACTCGGGAGAACGGCCCGAATGGTGTACCACTGCACCATCCAACCCTGTGGGAGGGAGAACTTTAACGAGTAACTGTCACTTTGCCTATTTGTTGCCGGTGATTATTTTTGCTGATTTACAATATTCTGGGGCTGCCGACGCCTGATGAGCAGACCAGTGTTCCTTGTTTTAAAGTATCTGTGAGCATTACCACTCCTGAGACGCTGCTAACTTACCAGCATCTTTTTGTCAAATTTTACTGTTCCTTGAATTACATACAGGAGGGGGAAGACGAAGGCTGAACACCTGTCAGTGGTGTCCTCTACGAACCTGGGAGTGAAATATTCTCCCAGAGCCGAGATTCAGGCATGAAAATGGGTGGGATGAATTTCAATTGATGGATTTTCGACTTGAAGGAGTTGCACTCGATATTTAGGTCGAAAAATCAGTCGACAGAGATTTCACAGCCGGAACAACGTCGAACAAAAAGTCATCACCACCAACATACGATTCACGAATTAGCCTAGGTCTATCTGGGGGTCGTATTCAAACATCCGACATCTCTTAAACTCCTTTTATACTTGCGACGAAGCATTTCTCAATCGATCCTACACCTGCGACCTACCTCCATACCTGTCCCATCACCTACCTACACACGCCCTAATGAGGAAAGTCATGATGGAAACGGGACGTGTACAAAGGAGGAAGAAGAGGGAAGATACACCGAGGGGATTACACAAATCCCCAATGACAAAATAACCCAACGGTACGATATGAAGGTGCAAGGCTAGAGCAACGATGAGATCTTGGACGGCATTTATATTTCGGAGTCAATGAGGATGTCAAGGGCTCGGGCGCGTGGTGGCCGAGGCTGAGGAGGAAATCGCGCTACGGCGTGTATACAGCGGGTTTCTGGACGGTTAGGCTTGGTATGATTCAACACATAGGTGAAGTCTGAGGTGGTCCGGTCATTAAAGTGGGACGAGGTTTATCTGTACTTCACGGTAGTTAATCTGATCCGGCCCAACCCCACACGTGCTTAAGCTCCAATAGGAGTGCAACGGTAGCCATGTAACCTAGCACGTTAATGAAGAAAACAAAACAAAACATACAGGAGGGTTAAGATGTGACACTCGTCAGTCGTGTCGTATAAATATTTCCAGCTCCAATCTGAAAGGCTGCATGGGTAGGTTCATGGTACTCAACATTTGAACCATTAGTTGATTTATCAGCATTTGCCCTAAAGTACTTCTTTAAGTCTTTCAACGAAAGAAGTGACGAGAATGACATGTGGAATGTAGGGAAATTTTGTAAAGCCATACAGTATAGTTTCGGCCAGTGATTCTCTTAATACCATTCACGAATCCTATTTATGTAACTAGACTTGGAGCTTGTTCCGTTAACTATAGAAGGAGAGTCCTACACTCAGTTTCTATTTGGGATTATCTCATCATACATTTATCTACAATTAGCCATTCATTGGATGGGTGGAGATGAAATGAAAATCTTTTCGAGGTTTGGCAAATATGAAGGCACCTGAAAGTGTTACTGCCCCCCGCAGAAAAAGGAGACATGATTGCTTACAGTTGGTTAGCAGGGTAAACCCAAGTGATATACACAGCCTCGGAATGGACTAGAAATAATGTGTTGCATCACATAACACATTGTCGAGCTGAAACCGCCCCTACCAATTCTCGGAGGACTACGATCGCTCTGATCATCCAAGCGCATAGTCTTAGGACCGGTGCAGACGGGAGAAGGCACCAATTAGCTTCTGCTTTTCAACGAAGATGAGATGTCTTGGATTCCGACTGCGGCCCACATACAACGCGCTCAAGCCCGATCAGGGATCAGGCGAGGGAAGAGCTGCTGCTGCTGCCAGGGGTTCGGGAACACCGCCGTTATCATCTTGTCTTATCGCCATGTATCGCACCCTAGACTGATATACTCTAATTTTCACGACACCAAGGAACATCTTTCACCATCAGAGCCCAAAAAACCAAAAAACGATGGACTGCTCAGAATTTTTACATTTGAGGGCATTTCTACGTTGTCTGCATTGGCTTCCATTCTCCAATTTGATTTAATCATCATTCAAAATCAAAAACACTTAAATTTTCATTTGGGTTTTACAAGACACAATTTACCGCATGACTTTTTATGCCTAGAGACTTTTATGGACGATGCCTGAGATCCAAGTTGTCTCATGGTTGCTGCCATCAGCAAAGAGGAAATGCACAGTTGTTGTGTAGCACTCATGCTAGCAAGTCATAATAAGGAAAATCATAAATGTTGTCCATTTCTGATGAATATTCAGTTGGATTGAATTTTGATTCAAGTCCCTCCTAAGTCTATAATTATGTAGGACCGTGAGAGCTATTAAAATTACTAATGACGAGTTATTATAAGATAAATTTTTCTAATAGATACTGAGGGTGTGCTTCACGGACCGTGGTATTTTTTTTTGCATCAGATTTTAATTGCGTATGCAGCTATCTAGCTATGACACAATATCAAATAAAAGTACAGAATAGATGATTCAACGTAAAGGAAGAGCACTCATGCCTCAGATTTCATTTGCAAGTACCACTGCGAAGTTATGGTGGCTTTTTCTTCACTCCAAGTCAACCCTCATCCGTGAATACCCACCCAGGGGAACGTCTCAAAAACCCTGAGTTATCCAGACATGCCTCCATCATCTTTCAACTTTTCTCCGCGCGATATGTGATCTGAGATGTCTCCTTCCCAAGTGGAGTAGGTGCCTAGGCTACTCAAACTATACCGGAGAACACCACCAGGAGGCGGACCAGTACACCTTCCATCGTCTGCTTGTTTTTATAGTGTCAGCTGCACTCTCGCAAACGAAGTTTTTGCGCGCACAAAGTTAAATTCGTAAAACTCCTTGCCAAAATTCGAAATGTTACGCCCGTTGAATACGTATCCCTCTTCTGCATCATCTTATAAACTTGTCCTGATCCCTCTCACGTCCATCCCAAAGAACTGTCCCTCGGATTTGTGCGCATCGCTTTGCTACCTTCATCGGGTATAAATATCGGTGTGGGCGTGTATTTGGTGACCGGCTGAGGCCAGAGAAAGTCGACAAGAGGTTTGATAATTGGGATGAGGATGTACTAGGTCGTACTCGTAGACTTGATGAGGCTTACGTAGGAATCGGACTCTTTGGGAGTGAAAGATTGACATGGTGGAGTAATTTGAAATTTTGCCTCGTGGGCCAACTTCTTTGATATTGCGAAATTTGACTGAACTTGGCTCTGGGAGAATATTTCACTCTCAGGTTCGTAGAGGACACCGCGTACAGGTGTTCAGTCTTGCCCTCCTCGGACCGTGGTAATGGGTAAGAAGACAGATGGCAAAATTAAAAGCTCAATTTGGAGCTAATTGTTCACAGATGTGTAGCTACTGTAGCAATGATGCAGTAAATAGGCAATTTTGGCCAAATGACTAAGTTCATATGTTTTAGGTATGTTCAACTTAGCTTCCATTGCCAGATTTGCTTCGAGACAAAAAGTAAAGATGATTATTATGATAATATAAAAAGAGTGAGGTTGTTGTCAACTCTATTGCAAGGTCTATCCTGAAGCCGTCATAGTATTACGTGTGTTGAAGAAAGGGTCAGCATCAAAACTGGCATCTCCGATCTCCCAGCGCAGTGAGATGCATCACAGTAAGATTTACAACCCCTCATTCCGTCACAGCCCATACGATCGAGGCGCTGAACTGAAGGAGGGGAATCTGAGGAGCAAGATGGCCCTCCCCGGTTTCTTCCGGCCATCAAACTGTTATTCATGATGCGACCCTGTGGTGCTGTGCCTGAAATTATTCGGTACCGTGCAAGGATTCACTTCTTCTGTATTCGCGGTTAGCTGGCACTTGCTCAAGCACGTGCCCCTGGTCCCGGAGCGGAATAAAGGTGGCCAGGATGTTGGCCCTGGACGACATGACAACTGGTTTACTTGCAAGGCTACTAGCGCACTTGCGTTTCTGCAACGTGATCAGCTAAGAAGGCGTCCTCTAAGAGACAGATGGAACTCAACCAGGGATACCGCACACAAGTGTAGGTTATAAATATGTAGATAAACATATTTGTAAATATCGTAGTTCCCTGTCACCTGCTCGTGATGTTCATGACAAGCAGGCATGTGAAAAGCGAGGCCCGCCTTTTCGTGATGCATTACTCGACAAGGTTATTGCCCCAGCAATTTAAAGGGGGAAGGGGCAATCTATATATGACAAGTAGATCCCATGTATACTCGGTATACCAAGAAACTTCATTGAAAGACTATTCACTCGTTTAAAAATATATCCTCAATCTCTACATAGCCTCACAACAATGAGCCAGCAATTCTCTGCCGCAACAGTGGCGACTCACAACAAACCTACCGATCTTTATATCATAGTTGACGGGAACGTATACGATTTGACGAAATTTCAAGATGACCATCCAGGTAAGCTCCAATTTCAAAAATTAATGGATTCTTGAAAAAAGTTTACCTGATAAAATGACCACAGGCGGAAAGAAAATACTTCAACGCGTTGCTGGGAAAGATGCAAGCAAGCTGTTTTGGAAATATCACAATGAAGGCATCCTTAAGAAATACCAAGCCAAACTCTTGGTTGGATCCCTAGACACAAACAAACCCACAGAAACACCCGTATCTCAAATAAAAGAACCCGAGGTATCTTCGCAGACTACTATCGCATCGCCAGTTTCAAGTGAACAAAAAGCGAAGGTGACTGCCCAGCAAAAAAACGAGACACACGAGGGAATGGAATCGCTCGGAGACATGATTCCATTTGCAGATCCGAGTTGGTACCAAGGTGTACGTCTTCAAATTTAACATTGGGCCAACTACAGACTAATAGGTTGACAGTTCTACTCCCCCTTCTACAATTCCACTCACATGGACTTGGCAAAAGAGGTCCGTGGATGGATTACTGCTACCGTGGAACCCCATGTGAATGACTGGGAGGAGGCAAAGCGGGTTCCAGAAGAAATTTACAAAGCCATGGGCACACGAGGCTATCTAGCTGGCCTCGTCGGAACTCATTACCTAACAGAATATACCGGCAGGCGCATCGCCTCAGTTGCACCTGAAGAATGGGACTTATTCCACGAAGTAATCTTAGCAGATGAGCTAAGTAGACCTGGATCTGGTGGCTTCATTTGGAATGTGATTGGGGGTTTCTCCATAGGCTGTCCTCCACTCGTCAAATCGGGCAAAGAGGCATTAAAAAAAAGAATATTACCCTCAATTCTAAATGGTGACAAGCGCATATGTCTGGCGGTGACAGAGCCTGATGCTGGCTCGGACGTCGCAAATATAGGTTGTCAAGCAGTGCTGAGTGAGGACGGAAAGCATTACATCGTAAATGGAGAAAAGAAGTGGATAACTAATGGTGTATGGTGTGATTACTTCACCACTGCTGTCCGAACGGGTACCAAGGAGAGTGGTATGAAGGGAATAAGCGTTCTGTTAATAGAGCGGAGCTTTGGTGGCGTCAACACTAGGAGAATGGATTGCCAGGGAGTATGGAGCAGCGGGACGACCTACGTTACTTTTGAAGACGTTAAAGTGCCTGTCGAAAATTTGATAGGCGAAGAAAATAAAGGCTTTAAAGGCAAGTTATCAAAATCCGATTGCAAACAACGTCTTTTCAAAAGCTGACATGCATCCTAGTCCTAATGAATAACTTCAACCATGAACGTTTTGGCATAATTGTACAATCGCTACGGTTTTCTCGCGTGTGCTACGAGGAATCTGTAAAGTATGCCAGTAAACGTCATACCTTCGGAAAACCACTTATCCGCCATCCCGTGATTCGCCTGAAGCTTGCGAATATGGCTCGCCAGATAGAAGCTGGATATGCGTGGTTCGAATCACTTATATCTCAAGTTAGCCACATGCCTGAGGAAATCGCAATGCTACGTCTAGGTGGCCCAATAGCCGGGCTAAAGGCTCAGAGCACAATGACATTTGAATTTTGTGCACGAGAAGCGAGTCAGATCTTCGGCGGCCTCAGTTACAGTCGTGGGGGGCAAGGTGCAAAGGTGGAACGATTGTATCGTGATGTGCGAGCTTACGCTATACCCGGAGGAAGTGAAGAGATTATGCTCGATTTAAGTATGCGACAAAGTCTTAAGGTTGCAGAGTTCATGGGCATGAAATTATAGGCAGGTCAGAGGCTGGACGTAGGTGCAACGGAGAGGAATATAAAATTTTGTAATATCATCGGTGCTAGTGGTAGGGCATTCACATTTACTATCGGGACAGCTTTTAATCAATTCACAATCAACTAAAATCACATATCATACGTCTTTAACTCCTACATCGATTCTGCTGATATTTTATCCTCAAACAACTGACAATTAAAGGCTTAACAAGGTATGAAGTAATTTCAGACTAATTACAATTCATCCACGAGGATCTCAACGTAATGCATTTAAATATAAATTCTACGTTGGCCTATTAATTCATGCTTATAGAGCGGAAACTTTACTCCTATGAAGGACCACATGCGCAGGATCCAATTAAAATCTATAACAAATGAAGATGCGTAAATGATTGATATCGAAGGAGGCCTTCCGGCAAACTCTGAGACACGGCAATTGGATAACGGTTGGCTAGATTTGAAAAAGCTGTCGACTCATGATACCTCTTGTGATAAGCTGCGGTAGACTATTAGTTCTAGAACTCCCGATATCTTTGCGCACATGACTTAGTTGGATATAGCTCGTGACAATGATAAATTATGTCTTGTGGCAGCGCCCGATTACTGCGATTGGCCTACCTATTTCATCAAGTAGTGTTCAGCTATCTTTGCTTGGTACACGGTCAATGCTTTGTACAAGTGTTGGATGGCTATTTAGATTCCAGGGTCACTCTTTCTCTGTCTTTCATTTGCAAATACCAATTTGGACTGCGTATGTTTGCATGGAACAATCTGCCGTCCTCTATGAATACCCACACATGTGGAATAACAAGACCAACGGCTGTTTAAGCACGTTATTTTCATACTGTACACCACAACCACGAGAAACATGGTCGAGCCTTGCTGGATTTGAACTAGCAACTTTCCGCCCGAAGTTGCATGAGTGCTCGAGCTACCCAAGCTACTTGACAGGCCGACCCGAATAATGAATCACTACACCATCAAACCTTGAATACTTTTATAGCGTCGCATACACACCTGCAGCTGGGGCTACCGCACGCTCAATGCTTGAAGCTCCTTCCCAAACATCGAAATCTCGCCCCCTTTCGAGACTAAGAGCGTCCTTGATATCATTTTGCCTGGATGACCTCATCTCTCTCACATCTATCCCGGAAGATTTCTCCGCCAGAGTTGCGCGTCAGGATTTCTGGCGACTTGCTGGTACTCGCGCTGTCACGGCCGTCTCGTTGAAGGCCAGGAACCCAGTCGACGGGAAGTTTTATCATATAAGCGAGGATAGGTCGTGCTTGTCGACGGAATGAGGCTTTGGTCCGAGTCGATAGTGGTGGGTGCGGAGTATTGATATCGTAGGAAACCCTAGATAGTTGCCTCAAGGGTCAACTTAGATACTGCGAAATCTAAGTGAACTTCGCCCGGAGAGAATAGGTTGTTGTTAGGTTCATCAAGAATATCGCTGGCGGGTCTCCAGCTTTCGTCATTACACTCGCAAGTCTCATGAGGGCTGGCATATGTGAAATTAACTAAAAACTGCCCGCATCATTTCGGTCTGGAATATTACACATGCGTCCGTCACCTCAAGTCTATGGACGGTTGTTGGTGGCTGAGGGGCTGAGCATGGTGGTAAATGTCACGTAATCAGATGGAGATAACCTCTGTGAACGGCAACACCCAGTCACGGGGGTCTGGGGTCCCAGTCAATGCAGGGTGATGCATCGGCGCAATGCACGGACGTACCAGGGCTATGGGTCCTCTTTGCGCCAGTTGCCGAGCGTGACGGGGGCATGCCATGCATTCACTAACACTACTGTAGCTATTTACACCGATGCCTGCCCTAAAACTATTTAACGGCGAATTTGGATCTGGCCATTGGCCATCTTTTCCCTCGGCGGGATGAAGGGAGTCACTCGAACTTTGACCGGGCCGTCGGCTTGGAATACGACCATCTCCGTGCGCTCCTTGTATCCCCGCCCTGTCGCCTTTCGGGCAAATTCGTAGGCGCGCGTATTGCAGTGTCGAGGCACGCGCCAAAACGAAATCTTCACACCATCAGCGTGGTAGCGACGCACTTCATGCAACAAAATTTTCCAGAGATCCTTATTGTTGACGTCGTTGTGATTCTCTAGCTTCCACTGACTATCCTCCCAATCTGAGATCCATTTGGTGATGCTGCACGTCACATATTCAGAATCGGTGGCAATCACAATGCTTCGCCAGCCGCGATTGCAGTCCATGCTCCAATCGAGAAACTGTAGGGCCGCAACTGCAGCGCGTAGTTCTGCGCGGTTGCTAGTGATTGGATTTATGCGGCCCGTTGGACCTTTGATTTCAAGACGCCCGGAGATAGTGCCGGCGTGTGTCAATGCACCGTCTTGACTATACGCTGATGGCCGGTAGACAAATGCCCAGCCTGCTACTGCCTCATCGCCCTTTGAAGTTCGTAGACACGCGCCATCGGCAAAGATGAGGATTTCGCGGGGATCGCTTTTGCGTATGAAGCGGTGCTCATGCATGAAGAGGGTTTCTGGCACATCCAAGAGGCAGGGCGGACGAAAGATAGAGGGAAATGTTCTTGTGCCAAAGTACAAGGTCCGCGCATCCTCGGGCGTGATTTCTCCAATGATCTGGGAGTTTTTACTATGCCAATAGGTACTCATTTCGAACCACGAGTGAGCATCGTATTGACAGTAGATCCCCCCCTCGCCGCACTCTGTGCACAGCAAATAATCGCGGCAGTCGCGACATTGGAAAAATTGGGACCGAATGCGGCCCTCACAGCGGTTGCAGAGTTTGGGACCAGACCGCTCCTGTGGCGATCTAGGCTGTTCACTTAGGGCGCCCGCCAAAATGTGATGATGAGTATTTCGTTTGCTCGCCGACTTTTCATTCTTGAGGCCACCGGTCGATGCGCGATAGCTTCGCAGCTGTGAGTGAGCGATAGCCTTGTTTCGGGGGGAAATAGCGCCGGTAGATGCTCTCTGAGGGGCTCGATTAGGATCGTGATGACTGGAATGCAGGGTGCCGGTTGAAGCTCTTTGCAAAGCTCTATCTGAATCTTGGTTTCCGGGCCATGGGGATTCTGTTGAGATCTTGAAATAAGTCTTAGTAAAGCACCTTTGCCACGCTAATGTCCTGTACTTTTGCTTACATGAAGAATGCCTTGATATGATCTTTGGCTTGGTTTGAAAGAGGCGCCTGAGGAGGCTCGCTTTGGCTTTGAGCGCAGTGGCAAGCCTACAGCTTTACGCTGCGGCAATTCAAGTAGAACATCCATGCAGACGAGTCAGCGGTAGGAAGTAAATTATGGCTCATGTGAAATTCGGGAAGAAGGGATTAGAGATAGGTTGATGACGGCCGGAGATACCGGCTGTTGTTGTGGAGGGAGCTGTTGCATTGACCTGCATAATACTCGGAGAGCTTGGACCATGGCGTCTCCGTCCGAGTATCCTGCATAAGTCTACTATTCTTTCTTTTAGCACTGCCGCCATATCACAATTAGCTCATAAGTGGCGGCTTAATATGCATGATTGCCTGATCATTCGCTCCAGAAGCCTAGTTCCACGGGGCCGAGAGAATTGGAAAATGGCCGATTGCGGCGGCGGCCCGCCAGCACCGTGCTTGATGGAAGCGCAAGAACGGAACTGCAATCTGAGTGTGGCGCTCACCCACGGTAATGGTATTACGAATCTATATCAAGAAAGCCACGCTACTCTGACAACGTCAACACAGACCGGAATTTAGTTATTGTTTGTCTTTAACCGGATTGGAGGCTGCATCAACGGGGATGTAGCCAAAGGCGTTTAACTTGATGAGTATTTTGTATAATTATATTTCTAACGTGTATCTTATCCAGCATTTCATCACTGTCTAAGACAAAAAATTGAAAATTATCATGGTTAAATAAATTAAACGTCGTTAGTTACTTTCATATAGATTCTAGAGGCCCTCCCCAGCCATAGACTCAGATAAGACTATAATATAATCTAATCTAATCTTATCCAGGGTAACATCAGAGTGAGTAGAGCAATAGATAGTCTTGGATGGAGATAACGGTCGGATACGACCCTTGGCCGCGTTGTGTGATTATTTGTGGCTACGCCGGTACCCTTGCTTGATCACGAACTACGGATTGTACGCAAAACTGAACGGCTATTACCGTCTCGGGGTTGAAGAATTTCACCTTCTCTGCGTATGCAGTTCGAGAGCGTCATAGTAAGGATGGATGAAATGCCCTCCTGTTCGGAGGATTTCATCAGACATAAAGAAGCTTAGCATGGATATCGGCTCCTAGCCATAGACCATGGATTCCCGTGGCCAAGAATGTTTGGATCACTAGCGTTCTTCATGGTCTGTGGATGAAGGATGGGCGGAAGAAATACTGCAACATGGTTCTGGCACTGCGAGCTAGAAGCAATCAAAACACAATAGCTGCGGTCCGATAAATGGTCACTTTGACATGCAACGTCGAAGCCTCTGTCACGGTTCGAGGTATAGATGCTGGGGCGATCAAATATACGAAGGTTGTTTATTATTTTCTCTATGGCTATCTATGTACGTCCAACTTCAACTATTTATTCGCTTACTATTCTATCTAGAATATTCTTGACTAATACCAGCTTCTAGTATTTTCCCCTGAGGCTGGTTCGCAGTCTTACTACTAGTTGCTAGAAGTTTCTAGTGATGTCCAGATTAATCTATGATAGAATAGTGGTTTCGTAAAGTTGTGAAGCACGTGATTAACATCATGTGCCACAGGGTAATTACCGGCTCACTAGCCGTTACAGCCTCTTCCCATGAGACGATCATGCAAAGAAGCAGATATGACGATCATCGGGCACGTGCAGTGAGTGATGAAACTCAACGCGCCTCTTGGATCGAGGCGCGCGCTGTCACACTTACAGACGAGCAGAAAATTGTGTTGCTGCGTAAATGACTCTTTTAGAAACTCAGATCGATTTTGTTCAACTTGCTTCTAGCTACAACAATAGCCTCATCAACCATTACCGCTCTCAATCAGAATTTCCCTGCCAGAAACTTTAGAGTTACCCTGCCAGCTTCATATCCGTCGTGCGGTTCTTTTAATCTTTGCAAAGCATCTGAGAGCATCTCATCATCGAAGATGCCCTTATTATGCCGTATGTGCAGAACCTCAGATATGATTTCTGCAGTATACTCTGGGTGACCCTGGAAGGTCATTAACCTTTCAGGAATATATAAGCTCTGGATCTCATATCGACTACTTGAGGCTAAAAGCTCTGTACCTTCGGGACAACTGTAAACAACATCTCTGTGCATTTCGTAAATTTTCTACCAAAGTTATTAGACAACTATAGTCCATAGGAATATTTACATAAGAAGTGTGGGCAGGAGCAGTCGTAGAAGACGACTCATGACCCCGACTCACCAATTGCGAACGCCCAAAGATTTCTTGTCCACCACTGGTCAGCTGCAGGGGAGTGACGCTGACCTCCCATCCATTATCTCCCCTACCAACTATAGCATCGCCTCCAAGTGCGCGACCGATAATCTGATGTCCAAAGCAGTAACCAACTATGCGAACACGTCGTTGTGCGAGTATCTTCCGTACAAATTCCACTAGCTCGAGAATCCAAGGATCATTGTCGAAGCTGTTATGTTTTGAGCCCGAAATTATAACGGCATCGATCTCCTCAATATTGGGATACTCTCTGGCGTCTTGCACATCAAATGGGAACAGCGAGAAGGTGGCAAGGGCGTCAGGAGAGTCGGTAGCTGCCGTGCTAAGAAATTCTTGGGCTAGATCGCCATAACGACCATGTTTAGCCCGCGCCTCTGGAGCAAGAATACCGCATTCGAGAAAAGCAATTCGGATGTGTGCCAGAGTTTTCTTGGACATTTCTTAGGCTTAGTTTGCAATGTGTTTACATAGAATATAAGTGTATTTATATAATTACAGGATCAACGTTCGTGCGCATCAAAAGGTTTAATATGAATATCTGAGGCTAGCTGCGATTAAGTAAGCATTACAGCCTACCAGTCTCCACATTGTTACCGGGCTTATTTATTTATATTAGTTCCTTTTTACTCCTTGAGCACATAAAGCGTGTGGGTCCTCTCTGTCTACTAGCCAAGGATACCCGTGCGAGTATTACATCCCCTCACAAGTCCACATTTAACCAACCATTAAAAGATGTATTTTGCCCTTCCTTATCTCCCTTCTCTAGCAAGTGAAATGAAGTTCGTTTGTTTTGAAATTCCCTTTGGTGGGTACTTACGGAGAAGGGTCGGCTGTTTGTGTAAGCAAGCATGCCTGATAGTGGTATTTGCGAATGATATCCAGAGTATGAGTGTCTATAACGTCAAAAGAGTCATGCAATATGTATACATGGTACCGGTCATGTGTCATAGCTAGATAGCTGAATACATATTAAATGATTTAAAAAAAAGAAAATTCGTTTGCGGGTGCATGTTATCTGAGAAAACTTGAGAAAACCACTGGGTGTGACCCAGTGGTTTTTGAGACTTTTCCCAGCAGCTACACATCCGCAAATGGCCATCGTTTCGTTGGCTGGAGAGAGGAGATAATGACGGGATGACGGCTCCTCTTCGTGTGTACTCGAATGAAGACCTGTGGGGGTGTTAGCAGTGGAAAGAAGTCGCGAAGGAGGTAAAGGAGGGAGTACACTACCCGAGGCATAGATACTCCCGGCCTGTAGGCAGAAAGGAGCTACATGTCTTTACATAGTTATAGACTTTTTAGGACAATAAATACTCACTCACTCACCACTGGTTGCGAAGTTCCCCTAATTCTTATTTTTTATTTATTTACATACTATTTGAGTCTATGACTATTAAAGTGCCCTAACTCCTATGGTAGGACACAAATGACTTCTTATATTTGACGCTCGGACCAATATTGGTCCACTTTTATAAAGATAATGTGGTTACTATTTAGGAAATAATGACGTCTCAGTCATTGAGGTTGTTGTTGGGAAATATTGTCAACGGCTAAGAATAACCACCGAAGAAGTTGGACAAAGAAATGTCTCAGGACAAAAATAGGGACTGTCCATACATACGTGGGTTATTTGTTTCGGTCAGTGCTTCAATTCTGTATTTAGAACTGCAGGTTATTCTATTTCTAGCGCATGTCTATATTTAGAGATCAAGAGATCAAGTTAATCATGATCAGTGTATATAGTCCTAGAATTCCGGGAGAAATAGAAATCAAGTTGTTTTTACTGAGTTATCTTTTACTTTAATTACATACACTTCGCCTGTCACAGGTCAGGCTCCCAGTTACCTAACAAATATACTCTGCGCGATATTATATGGATAATTTTGATGAAGTAAAGAAGACTTGATATTTTACAACCATGGGAACATTGGACTTATATATACATCTAAGGGGGAAATTCCCTCTATTCTCGTGTGCCTGTCAAACCTAGTGATGACCAGCCACCTCTGATCTACCATGATGAGCCAAGGAACACTGTAGTACGTAAATATCCAAACGCATATGCGACAGTAGCCGGCAAAGACGAATTCTTCACCTTCCAGTGGTGCCGGTGTAATCACTCAGTATGCTCTGCATATCTGGGATAGCCAAGAAGAATCGCATCCAAATCGAAGTCGAAAGCAAACACATGCATATCTCCATTTGACGACTTCTCAATCATGCAGCACTCATCATTATCTTCTGAGTCCTCAACCTCTTTCTAGCCACATATCATCTCGCCTCGACGACCAACAAACGCGTTACCCCAATTGCAAACAGGAGCTTGCCTCATTTATTACCGGCCATCACTTACTACAAATTTACTACGCTACATATACCCGCAAGGAGGAAATTAAGCCATAATATAAAAAGTTGGGGTCTGGGTTTATGGGGGACTGCTGCTCTAATGGGGTTGTACATCTTGAGGAAGGACAGGCTGCTGAGATGTGGAGCGAGAGGGGAAAGAAGTCTCTGGAGACCATGTTGGAACTCACATCTTCGAGGGGTTTTCAACTTTGGATTTTTTGTGGGCGCCAAGACCAAGATTACGGCTAATTAGCCAGGAGGGCTTCTATTGTCGATGAGTCAACGGCACTCCCCAGCGCCCTGGACGGCACAAAAGAATTGGGCTAAGCTACTATACAGCAATCACGCTCTGTCAAGACTTTTCTGACATTTCAGCACGACCTTCGAGAAATAGTTGGAAGGAGGCTAGAAAGGTAGAGTGTGGATTTCCCGAGGTACCCACAAGTCTGCAGCGCCCAGCTTGAGGTTCCTGATGGATTAGTATGTGTGAAAAGTGAGATAAGCTTAGCTTTAAGATGGCGTAGGTTACGGGTGTCTCGTGGCTCCAATCTACCAATATGTATAGTAGAGCTTAAGACTAGATGTAACTTGATTTTCTATTAATACAGGGTATCGTCTATATAAGTACAGTATTCCTAATCTTGCGCCCGGACTCCAACATGAACAACATTACATAAGCATTACAATTTTGAGAGCCTCGTACTAATCTAGAGGTCTGTCAATCTTGCATCCTCAAGCTGGCCGGCCTCTTCGAACGCTTCAGAAGGATCACTATTTCTTCGGATTTAGTCCTAACGTCGGTATTAGAAGAGCCCCGCATCCAGTGGTTCTTGCGATTTTTCCCGGCTGCCACACGCCCGCAAATAGCCATCGTGCCGTCGGTTAGAGAGGGGAGATAATGAACGGCAAAGGGCTCCTCAAAGTGTATGATCGAATGAGGACTTGTGAGGGGTGGTACTGTTTGAGGGGAGCTGTATGGGAGGCATAGGAGGGGATATACTACTGGTATAGGTATCCTTGGCCTGTAGGCAGAGAGGACCTGCATGTCCTACATATACATAGACTCAGACAGGACAATAAAATGAATTAATAATTAATAATATATCCGACAGATTATAGATCCCACATCATATTATCCACAACACTTCTTACAAGAACTTCCATCTGGTGCAATGGCCCCAGCCGTTGCATCGTCATCGACAACGCCCCCGAATCCAGGGGGGCAACTCCACCCAAGCCTGCTAGGCATTGTTAATGCAATGCAAAAAGCAGAACAAGAAAGAAAAGAAAGATTGGGCATAGCCCAGGAATTTCTTGAACTAATCGACTCCTGGGCCAAGAGCAAAGGAGAGAAGCAAGCAGCAGCAGTCGTCGCGACTCTGATGAACAAGATCACGCCTGTCATCACTGCCTTTGCAGTAGATCAGGCAGAAGTAATCAATAGTCCAAGTAAGAACTCCCCCGCCATGGCAAGCACTCCCAAACCAGTCGCGCCTAGGAACCACATTGTTGTTGAGAACAACAGCCACGGCCTACCTCCAAAGCCGCAAGAAAAAAGCTCGCCTTGGGTTACAGTTGCTCGCAAAGCAGCCAAGTTACCAACACCGCCCAGTGCGCAAGTTCCGAGAAGACCGGCTCCGATAAGCCGCCCTAAGGCACAGACAACACCCAAGGAAGACAAACGCCTGTTCCTTCGTTTGGGTAGAGATCACCACTGGCACAAATTATCACCAGTCACAATCAAAAAGATAATAACCGACAAGGCTGGGATAGCAGCCTCAGCTATCACCTCGATGTACCCAGTCAGGTCGGGGATCGCTCTCGAATGTGCGTCAGACGCATTGAGAGACACAATCATCAGAAGTGCACCTTCCCTACAGGAAGACAACACAGTGATTGAGGCAGCCTCAAAATGGACATCTCTGATGGTACCACATGTGCCATTGTATATCAGGACACTTGAAGGCAGCATTCCAGTCACCATTGAAATGGTGAAGAACGAGTGCCAGGCAGTATGTGGCGCCACACCAATCCAGGTACGGCCCACAGAAACAAAGCTTGGTCAGTACTCAACGAGCTGGATCATTCATTTCCAACAAAAACCAGCAAACACAAAGTTCCGTCTTTTTGACGAGAGCGGACCGGCAATTCCCTTCTCGCGCCGACGACCAATCGAGCAATGCCAACGTTGCTGGGGATTCCACACTACGCGTTCCTGTACCCGGAGCCAACGATGTGGACGATGTGGGGGAACCCATGAGACATCAGATTGCCAGGCCAAGGTGCCAAAGTGCTCAAATTGTGCCGGACCTCACCACTCACATGAGAGTAGCTGCATGGCCCGACCGAGAAGACAAAACGGGATAATTCTGCCCCGTACCCCTGCAGAACTACACATCATCAGAGAACGCGGGCATCGTGATTATCACGCTGCTCTAGCGTATTCGGAAAGGAAGGGCAAGGCAGTTGAAACTGTCATTACCCCGGATTCAACAATGACGTGTTAATGTTAGGGAACCCCTCAACAAAAGCACCAAAAGATAAACATAACACTCTCCACTTTCACCAAGTGAATGTAGGAAGGGGTGGGGAGAATACAGATATAGCATTGCAGCAGGCATGGGATGCCGGTGCACATGTAGTCATGGTACAGGAACCATGGACAAGGAAGAAAGAGGGGGGTTTTATCACCAAAAGTCACCCTGGATACAATAGCCACATACCGTTTGGAGGAACAGACGTCCGGCCCCGCGTGAGTACTTTCACACGCAAAGGCATTGGTGCGACTCAATTTTTTCCGCCGTCATCAGGCCCGACATCTGACTACTGTTTTGTAAAGATGGGCAGCCTGACTTTCGTCAACGTGTATCGTGCCCCGGGCTCCAGTGGAACCTTGGAGCCCTTACTTCGGTGGGTAGTCAGAGGACTCGTGGTTGTTGGTGGCGATTTCAATTCTGTGTCACAGCATTGGCAGCCGCAAACGACAATTCAGTACGGCAATGGAGGCCAGATCATGGAATGGGCAACAGCTCACGATATGGATCTAGTTAGCATTGTCGGAGAGCCAACGCATAGGGATGGGAACGTGCTGGACTTAACGTGGAGCAACACAGCTGCAACAGCATCAGTCTCCAAGCAGTATCACTGTACCTCAGATCACTCGACCATCGAGGGTACAGTCTTAAACCCTACAGTATCAGACCTATCTGGAATTGTAAGGAACACTCGTGTCAGCGATGAGAACCTAAAGGAATTCAACCGATGTGTCAGCCAATGGACCAAAGCTGCCCCTCTGGACAGTGTCATGGACATCGAAAAATTCACAGCTAATCTCCTGCAGGCTCTTGCAGACGCGCTGAAGATTGCGGGGAAAGTCCCAGCCATTGAAAGCGGAAAAACCGGGCCCTGGTGGAACGATGAATGTCGCATCAAGTGGCAGGATTACAAGGCAGCGAGAGAAAATCCGGACCTTGTAAGACAGGCGCGTAAAAGCTTTAGAGCCGTTGTGCGAAAAGCCAAGCGAGAGTACTGGAAGAGGCAAGTGGAGGCAGTTACAACTGACGCACAGGTATTCAAGCTCATGAGATGGGCTAAGCCTCGACCAGCAGCTGAGCCCCCTCCTTTGCAGATTGAGGAAAATCGGTGGCTTTCAGACCCGCGAGAGCGGGCTAGTGCGCTACGAGACATTCTCTTGGCAAGATTTAGCAGCGAGAACGACATCCCAACCTGGGAGAATGGACAGGAGGTGCGCATTCCATGGGATACGGAAATATCACTGGAAGATGTGACAAACGCTACCATCTCTGTCAATGATACGGCACCGGGAGCGGACAAAATAACAGTACGTTTACTGAAATCCTGTTGGTACCACCTCGGGCCTCTGGTCAAGGATCTCTACCAGGCCTGTCTAAAAATCGGCCACTTTCCGACGGCATTTAGGGTGGCAGATGTTGTGCTTCTTCCCAAACCGGGACGAAATCTATCAACTGCCAAGGGCTGGCGACCAATCTCGCTGCTGTCGAGCTTAGGTAAAGGACTTGAGCGTCTAGTTGGCAAGAGAATGGCATGGCTGACGATAAGTCACCAAGTTGTTCATCCGCAATTATTCGGCTCAGTACCAGGACGATCTGCGGTCGACCTTGCATCCTGTGTAATCCATGATGCTGAGGCGGCCATGAGAAGCGGAAAATGTGCGGCTATGGTCACAATAGACATCCAAGGTGCGTTTGATGCAGTCCTTCACAACCGACTACTCCAACGCCTTCGAGAACAAGGCTGGCCACTATCTCTGTGCCGGTTCATTCAGACCTTTCTCTGCCAACGAAAAGTCCAGGTGAAATACCGTGGTGGAACCACAGACGAGAAGATGCTGGAATGTGGAGTACCTCAGGGCTCGCCACTGTCACCACTTCTTTTCATGCTCTATATCGCTGTGCTTTTTAAGGACCATGGACTAACGAGCAGGTTTGGCTATGCTGATGATCTAGCCATCATTAGAGTTGGAAGCACCGCGGCCGAAGCTATCGCAGCAGTCCAAGAAGACCTCGACAGCCTCGTCCTTCTCGCCAGAGAACACAGGATCGAATTTGACCCGGCAAAGTCGGAACTTCTAGTGACCGGAGGAGGTCCTAGGAAGAAAATCAACACAGCCAACCTCTCCATCTTGGTGAAAGATCGCCGGATCGAACCGCCGCCTCATATCCGGTGGTTAGGAGTCTGGCTTGACACTCAGCTGAACTTCAAGCAGCATGTACAGGAATGGACTGGAAAAGCTAATCGTCTAGTCCACTTTTTACGACATATAAACGGAGTTCAGCGCGGGGCAGCACCCGGACCTCTAATTCGTGCGGTACAGGCATGCATTCTGAGCACAGCTCTCTATGGGGCAGAAGCGTGGTGGCCGGGTCTTTCTCGAATAACCACCATCCGAGATAAAGAAGTCGGCACTGGAGTAGGGTGGCACACATCTCTGCTGGACAAAACTATCACGAAAGCTATACGAGTAGCACTCCCAGCGTGGCGTACCACTCCCAATAGCGCTCTTCATCGTGAAGCGGGAATCCCCCCGGCATCAATAATTCTCCAACAAAAGATGTTGCGGTCTGCAGCTCGAATGCGAAGAATGGATGCCTGGCACCCTCTAGCCCTTCGGGCGGCGGAGGACCCGAAAGATACTATAAAACGCCTAGGTCTTAGATCGGGACAACGAGATCGCTTGTTCAGACAGCCAGAAAGGTACATGACACGCCTACAAATAAGCGTGCGTCAAGTTCCGACAGCGGAAGGCCCTGGAAAGCTCTACTTTCCCCATGGTCTCCCGGCATCGACACCAGGCAGTCGGGAAAAAGAAGCTAGGTCAGGAAGCATCAAACGATGGTTAACTTCCCTTCCAGCCAACGCAGTCTGTGCCTTCTCTGATGGATCCTCGTCGGGTCCCGGGCAATCAGCTTGGGGTTATGTGGTATACCAAGGAGGCAAACTAGCTGGAAGTGGCTCGGGTCCGCTTCCCGGAGCAGAGGTATTCGACGCAGAAGTTGTAGGCGCTATGAAAGCCTTGGAGGCTGCACTAGCGGTGGGAGAAGGCTTTCCGGTCAGCATTCTTCTGGACAATCAAGCGGCCGTCAGAGCGCTCGAACAAGGAAGATCCAATTCCTCGCAGACAGTGGTGGACAAGTTCTCATCGCTGAGACATAATAGGCGTGTAGAAATACACTGGATACCTGGTCATGTGGGGATCCAAGGCAACGAAGAAGCCGATAAGCTGGCCAAATCAGCCCTGGGAGATCTCAATGACCAATCACTAACCTCAGCTTCGCCCAACGGAGACGAGCAAATTCTGACCTTTGCGGCTCTAGGGAGACTAGTGAAAATGCGGAGCCAAAAGCTTGTGGAAGAGTGGTGGCAGAAGTATCGGCCTAAACGATACAAAGATCTCGACCTCTACATGCGCTGCAAGCGACCGCCGGAACTGGCTCTGCCTCGATGGGCGTATCACCGTCTTATTGCGGCAAGAACAGGCCACGGGGACTACGCCGACTACCACCGGCGTTTCAACCCCGAACATGAAGATCTGATGTGCATTTGTGGCCGAGAGAAAAGGCCCTGGCATTTTTCAGAGTGCCGACCTGCTCTGCAACGTTGGAGAAGCTGTGAGAAAATGACTCCACCTGGGGTCAGGGAAATGATAGGGGAGAAGGGATGGCAGAAGTTTTTCCAATTCCTAACCATAAGCAGATGCTACAGTCTGCCGAAGAACTGACAGGGTGGGAGTGACCATGCTGAGATAGTTTCTGGCTCGAGAGGAGAGGTGTTTGGAAGATAGGGATACGGTGCAGGGCACCGTAACTCAGACATTTGCTGTGATTTTATTTTTCTTTTGTCGCTTCTGGCTTTAATGCCGGTCATGTAGGTAGCAATGAGCTCGTAGGGCCCATCTACCCGTGTCACGTCTAAATAGATGTTGGGTTCGTCCTGTCACGTTAAAGATTTCAAATTCAAATTCAAATATATCCGACAGTAAGCGCGATTAGTGCACTCGGGAGATATGTGTGGATCCTGTAAAGATCTACATTGTCACGGGTTGGTCAGATTTTGGATGTACGGCACATAGACAAAATGCTAGTGTCTTATGGTCTCACACGACCAGATCGCTCAGTCACAAGAGCAGACCTCACTGCAGCTGAGGGGTAACAGAGTATTGATGTATATAGGCGCATAGATATCCTACATTTAGGAGATATAGAATTCACGTATTAGTCTCAAGCTCTACACAAGATCCATTGTAGTTAGGAGCCACGAGACACCATGTGATAACATTTCATCCTTACTCCTACCCTGATTCATGCCACAGGAAAAACTGATGATCATGAAAGGATGTCAGAAAAGTCTCGGTCGAGAGTGACTGCCGTGAAGGAGCCTAGCCCAGCATCCAAAAGTCGTTACGGACGTGGGGTTGTCGAGTAACTCTTGTGCTTCAGATGCCCTCCTGGCTAATAAATTCAGAAGGTTAAATCAGAACGGACTATAATTTTGACGAGTCGAAATCTGCTTTTCTTGAGGGCGGAAGGGTCTTTTACTTTGCTTTCGTGGGCTTTTTGTTCGCCCGTCGGTGGGTAGCACATGTTGTAATATAATAAGGACTTCTCTGACTACCTTTGTAGCGTTTGGTACCGCATTATCTTTCCTCGTTCCCAGTATTATTATCGTCGTCTTGGTCGTCATGTGTGTTATCGGGAGCGTATCTTTGACGGAGGGGGAGACAACTCAGCTCAAAGTTGAAAAGTTGTTACTCAATCTCGGCTCTGCAGACTCTACGGTGAGGTTCGTAGGGGACACCACTGACAGGTGTTGAGAATAGTCTTCCGATAATTGCAGAGAAAGTAGGTAATCTATAATGAATAACTGAATCAAAGTGGCATTGGTTCGCAATCCCAGTACAGGATCTGTCCCATTTTTCCAACGGGCTCTAGCCACATTTTATCCACCCAGCGAAATTTCTAATATCATCTATCTAATTTTTATTACATCTAGATTTCATGACAAGTCAGATCTAATTGTAAAGCTGTTTCATGCGCGTCCATATGCTTAAGAATATGAGGTTGCGAAATGGATTAACATTATCCTAAACGATGCAAATGTCTAAATAGCTTCCGTGTCCGTGATAAACCATTTTCTTAACCTGTATATTAGAGGTTATCGCCTGGTATACGGGATAAATTAGTTGTAAAAAATGGCTTAGTCTGTCTTAAACAAAGACGTAAAGTTTCACTACTTTATATGAAGTCCCCAGGTGTTTTCATTGGTTGAAAATAACATACTAATGAACTATCGAATTATTACTCCAGGCTCTGTAAACTATACGGCTTCCATATGTCTCTCCTCTCTTCAGGACTACTTGACTTTTCCACTCTTGCCGGTTGACTGCATCTACATATCGTCCAGGCTCCACACAAAACCCCGACCTTGGTCCCCTGGCAGGAGTATCTTCCACGGCAGGAACATCAATATATTTCCCTGTGTAAAATTGAAAGGCAGGCTCAGTACTAAGCACCTCCAGACGAATGCCGGTAGCTTGGTGGTGCGCACTGACGAGGCGACGCAATGGAGATGATCGTGTATCTAGTGGAATTTGAGAAGACGCTGAAGGTTCAACTATAAAGCAGTTATCTATATTCATAGAAGTGAGTGTGAATGGCTCGTTTGCTACTACGCCAGGAAATGACAACGGGTCTAGGGAAATGGGTATCCCGGTCTGGTTTACCGGGAGAAACTTTTCCGTACAAAGGCTAACAATTGTACCGTCGATATTTGCTTCGCCACTGAGGTTGAAGTAGCTATGGTACAAGCGGTCAGCTTTATCTGTTATTCATAGGATTATCCAAGTTTGTGAAATGGCGTGGAAGAACCTACGAATGGTTTGTCATGTTCACAACCGTCGCCGCGACTCCATCAGAATCATGATCAATTCCTTCATCTCTCATCCTCACCTCAAATTCAATACCTAACACACTGATCTCTTTCCCGTCCTCGAGCTGAATGCCCGTGGTGTAAATAGTTTGAGCTTCTACAGCTCCGGGATACCCCTGATCACCGTCATCACTTGTGAGTTTGAACATGACGCTTTCTCCACGTTCGAGCTCCGTAATTCCGGGTATCCCTCTCTGTTCTATCGGTATTGGACCATCCCAAATCTTCTTACCCCAGCCAAGGGCCCCACCATGTAACGAGTGCTCTTCATCAGTTCGGGACAGGTTATACGACTTGTCGTTGAGAGAGTTGATGCGGGCGTTAGAAACACGGTTGGCGACTCGTCCAATTGTCTCCCCAAAGTAAGAGCTGTTGTAGGCTTCATAGAGTGCCTGACTTGGAAAGCCTTGGACTATGTTTCGGTTGTCGACCATAAACGTTTGGACTATAGCACCGAGCGGCAGAAACTCGGCAATGGGACTGATCGGCATGGCAAGACAATGACCTTTAAGTGGTAAAGCCGATTTTCTGAAAAAATTGCTTGAGTACTTTATCAAAATTTCCAATTAAATTGGTTTAAATCAAAGCCATATGCAAGGTCTCAAATCACATGATCTCACCCTGTATTTTGTTTTATTTTAACAGCTCAGACTTTGGTGCGTTAGTCACGAGCTGTTAACAGGCACGACGTTAAATTCAATCAAATCAAATCAAATCAGACTTTGGTGCCATCACATCATCGAGACAATCTTCCAGCTGAGCTCAGCCATTTTTGCATATCTTCTAGATCAATTTCCCGACCTTTGATCGCTACAGGACGATAAGATGCCCCACAGGAGGCGTAAAAACCCTGCGATACTCGTATCCCCCGCTCAAACTGCCCCGCACGCTGCAAAACGTGCGAGGCCTCGTCGACATCTTACAACCATCTATCACAGAATGTGGTCGTGATCTAATCGATCGATCGAAATATACGAAGTTTATTCTGATTTACTACAGTAATAATAACGTATGAATAACTACAATGCGGAATAAGAGCATCTTGAAAGGAAAGATAGGGATCAGGACAAGTTTATAAGATGATGCAGAAGAGGGATACGTATTCAACGGGCGTAACATTTCGAATTTTGGCAAGGAGTTTTACGAATTTAACTTTGTGCGCGCAAAAACTTCGTTTGCGAGAGTGCAGCTGACACTATAAAAACAAGCAGACGATGGAAGGTGTACTGGTCCGCCTCCTGGTGGTGTTCTCCGGTATAGTTTGAGTAGCCTAGGCACCTACTCCACTTGGGAAGGAGACATCTCAGATCACATATCGCGCGGAGAAAAGTTGAAAGATGATGGAGGCATGTCTGGATAACTCAGGGTTTTTGAGACGTTCCCCTGGGTGGGTATTCACGGATGAGGGTTGACTTGGGGTGAAGAAAAAGCCACCATAACTTCGCAGTGGTACTTGCAAATGAAATCCGAGGCATGAGTGCTCTTCCTTTACGTTAAATCATCTGTTCTGTACTTTTCTTTGATATTGTGTCATAGCTAGATAGCTGCATACGCAATTCAAAGCTGATGCAAAAAAAAAAAAAGAAAGTAAAGATAAATTTACAGGGGTATGACTAAGTGGACCCTAAGGCCAGCATCATAAATGGGTCGCCCAAAGTGAACGGCAGGAGTTTGTGCACTAGATCCTGTAACACCATCCAGGAGGAAGTCATCTTAGCAGCCGAGGCTGAGAAACAATTACCTCCACCCGAACCCATCGACATGGACTCAGAAGATGAGTTTATGGACCTAGGGCTTGAAAACGAACTTCTTCCCAACCCTGTCCCCGAAAATTTATCACCTACTCTCACTCCAGTCCCTACACTGACAACAGCCATACAAAGGCCCTCCCCGCAAAAGATTATGAAAAGAAATTCTAGTCAGGGTCTCTCTAGCTTGGTTCACGCGTCGACTAATGACATCGCAAACGAGCAAGAACTCTGACCCAAAGCCCTTGATTCACACACACAATTTTTTTTTTCACGCCCCAAGTTACGAAATCAAATACCATCTACGACCTGTTACCGTCATAAATATTTTCACCTACTCATGCCGCCCCAGTCCTCTGCAGAGGCTGGCTCTTGGCCCCCTCTCCCACCCGTAAATTCGACGCGTCCTAGCGTCGAAATGGTCCTCACAGGGCCACCCAACCATCCCCATACTACACAAACAAACGCAGAGTCCATCTGCGTGGCGAGCTGCCAATACTCGCCCCGAACCCCACCGAGTCATTAGGTGTCACAATGACTAACTTCCTCGCAGATGAAGCGAGGGCTTTTAATTTACGCTTCGCAGAGGCTGAGCGTATTGTCAGCGGGTACACTAACCTTCTGGCGAGTACAACCGATAAACAGCTCCGACGAGCTGTCGAAAAGAATAGAGAGGCCTTACAGGCCATAATTACAGACATCCTGCGCGGTAACCCCCAGCCCCAATTCAGTGGGCCATCAGAGGCTGCTAGTAGCAGCAAGACTACAACCCTTCCGGCACCAGCTACCAAGTCAGGCTGAAAGAATAATGCGAGCACTCCACGACTAGTGCAAATCCTCGCCAGAGAAAGCAGCAACCAGGCGAAAGGCAAAGAGCCGGCCTCCGCAAAGCCTACTAGGCAAGTCGAAGGCAACGAGCCGAATAACACCAACACCACTGAGAGATCTTGGACTCAGGTGGTGAGGAAAAAGCCAAAGTCTGTACGACCAGTGGTATCAACATCGACAACAGTCATTGGGTCCCAGTCAAAAGCAACTGGGCCTACACAAGCGCCTAAGCCAAGTACCCCCGCTTCCAAGCCGGCCCGCCCAGACGAATGTGTGTTCCTGCGGGTCAAGCCCGACCACCCGTGGAGACGCATGTCTCCTCACTACATAAAAATAAGCCTCGCAAGCAAGCTTCGCTTGGTTAACTCTGCAATCAAGCAGGTCACTGTCGTCAACCCAGGGTTTGCGATAAAAGCTGAAGGAGATGCAGCAAGAAACCCGCTCCTCTCGGGTGCCGTGCTATTGGAGAGCACGGAAGTGAATCTGGAAGCTGCTTCCAACTGGATCTCGGTGCTGGCTCCAAATGTACCTGACAGGCTCTACACTCTAGAGGGACCAACGCCAGTCACACCGGAGATGGTGATGGAAGAAGCGACTTTAAAGACGGGCATTAGACCGACCTCGGCTCGTGCGTTCGCGACAAGCATGGCAAGGCCATCAACCGACTGGGCTCTTCTTACGGGCCCAAGGGTGTGAATTCCCTACACAGTACTTAGGGGTTCCACATTTTATGTTGATCTTAGGAGGCGCTAAGTCCCCCTTTGTAAAATATCCATGTATCATAAATCCTTCGCGACCGCGTCATGTTTAGTACTTTTGTTATTATCATTTTAGAGAATCAGAATAAACTTCAATAACTTCGTTTGATTGATCAATCACGACTCCATTTCGTGACATATTCTGATTCTCTAATTATATTCAGTCACACCTGCGACGTCTTGCGGTATTGATAACTCTCTCCGATTATCTCTTAGTCCTACCTGCGACGTCTCGCGGTACCGGCCCTCTTCCATCACCTCCATCCTACTCAGGCCCAATATATGAGCCTTGAAGATATTGTCTCAGGTCTGAGGGACTTCCAGCTCGTAGTTACGCCGCCAGCACCACAGCCTGCCGAAACCTCGCAAGCACCCCAGACTCAAAAAACTATGACAGGATACAAATCAGAATCCACTAAACCCACTATCAACTGGCCAAAATGGTCGGGAGACCCCGTAGATTTACCTGCCTTTCAAATCAGCCTTAAAGGAGTGGCAGAGGAAGGCATTAATCACAAATCCTTTTGCTATTCTGTCTTTTCTCAATCCCTCCCCGCTGAAGCCCAGCGACGAGTAGCACCATGGATGAAGACTCAAAAAATAGCAAATGACTGGAGCAGTGAGAGGCTGATATCCCACCAGGAAGATTAGTTCACCGACAAAGATGCGGCGACAAGAGCCCAAACGAAAATTAATGCCCTTTATCAAGGACCTCGAAAAACTTTCGCTAAGTTAAGATCTGTTTTCGAGCAGCTTTGTTCTGAAGCCGACCACCTTGCGCCAATCGGTGCATCAAAGGTTAATGCTATGAAATGTGCCTTTGCATCTCACCTTCGAAAAGGCATAGCCTACCGCCAGGGAGTCTCCGAGACAAATTATGAGAGCTTTGTCAGGGAAGTCCAAAGCATCGCTAAAGAGTTGGAGTCCATACCCAGCTTTCGAGCTATCTGTGGGTCTGACAAAGAGAATTTTTCCTTTGATAGCACACCGCAAGCTACTCAATCGACTGTAGATATCGATCAGTCAACCTACCAAACTAATCAATCATATTCAAGCAGAGCATACCAGCCTGCAGTTCGATATGACCAAGATGGAGACGTTCAGATGGCTGATATCACCTCGCTCCAAGGCCAGATTCAGGCTCAAACAAATGCGATATTAGCAGTGCTGAAAGGCACAAATGACAAACCGTCAAGCAGCAATGTGCGAAAAAACGATCAACGCCCATTCCTATCAGAAATATCCCAGGCCGAAAGAAATCGGCGCATTGATAGTAATCAATGCGAAAGGTGCGGTAAGTCACCCTCTCATCCATGGGGTGACTGTAAGTACCGGAATTTTCGCGAAAATCCCACACCGAGAGGTTACAGCTCCTCTCGCCGGGCGGGAGTAAATTGGATAGCAAAGGAAGCCCCTGCAAATGAGTTTGCTTCGGACTCAGAAAACTGATAGCCTCTGAACAAAGTCGTGTCCAGAGGCCAGTGGTGTATGATTCTTTTGGTGTGAATCTGAAGAAGGAGCCATCAGCTAAGGAAATTCTTGTGGCAAAAATAGGATGGATAGTAAGCCCTTTTTAGTAGAATTGTTTACAAATGATTATTTCTTTCTGCCAGACCTATTCGACTCAGGTTGTCTTCATTACGCTGCCTTCAGTGAAAACATTGTCAAGAAACATAAACTTCCACGCATTCCGGTAGAACATAGAAACCTTCAGCTTGCAAAGAATGATCAGAACTCCCATAAAATTAGTCAAATAACTTATGCTACGCTTGATATTAATGGCCGACGAGAACGCTTGTGGGGTTACATTATTGAAGGCTTACATTATGATTTAATCCTTGGTAAAGGATGGACCGAAAGAAACAATGTAATATATGATGCCAAAGACCACGCACTCTATTTTCAGGAAGGAAATAAGCAATCGAGAATACTAGAAAAAGGCTGGATGGAGAGCGAGCGCACCAAAAATAAGACCAAATATTTTCGGGAAGGAAAGCTTGTTTCTGCTCTTATATTCTCTGTTTTCACAAAGAAGGCACAAAAGAGTCAGAAGGGCCTTATATTAGCGTCTGTTTCAATTTCAGATATCAACAAAGCATTACAGAAGTTGAATAAAGAACGAGGGAAACCTACCATGGAATCAATCGGTAAAAAACT